AGATAGGATAAATACCCCCACCCTCCGAAAATCAAATACATATATACACTGAAATGCGTAATATTCAAACTGCTGTAAATGAAAGATAAGTAGAAAATGTTCAAGGCAGCCAGAAGAAAAAGAAAGGTCAAGTACAAAGGAGCAAAGATAAGAATTACAGTAGGCTTCTCATCAGAAAGTATGCAAGTCAGAATGCCATGGAATGATATTTTTAAATGAAAAAATTAAATGAAACAAAAATATCTTTCAAAACTAAAGGATACATTGAAACAAACTATTCATGGGCGCCTGGGTGGCTCAGTCATTAAGCGTCTGCCTTCAGCTCAGGTCATGATCCCAGGGTCCTGGGATCGAGCCCTGCATGGGGCTCCCTTCCCTTGGCGGGAAGCCTGCTCTCCCTCTCCCACTCCCGCTGCTTGTGTTCCTGCTCTCGCCATCTCTGTCTCTGTCAAATAAATAAATAAAATCTTAAAAAAAAAAAAAAGAAACTATTAAAAACTAAAGGACACATTGAAACAAACAAAAACAGAATTCATTAGCAACTTTTCTGCACTACAATTTGGAACTACACAAAGACTTGGGGAATGCTGGAAATGGAACAAGGGAAGGTAAATATTAAAATAAATTTTGTAATTTAAAAAATTGCTTTAGAAGATAGTTGACTGTCTAAATAAAAATGGTAGCCATGCATTATAAATTTAAAGCATACATTAAAATATATGGCATTAGCACAAAGGATGGGAGAAAGCATTGAGAATACTGCCATAAGGCTTTTAGATGACATATGATCTGGTGTAATATTATTTGAAGGTACACCGTGACTAAAGACACATATTTTAAACCCAAGGACAATTACTGAAAAAGATAGAAATATAAACAATAAGATAATAGTACATATAAAATGGAATCATAGAAATAATCCAAAAAAAGGCAAAGAAGGAACAAAGAACAGATGGAGAAAGTAGAGAGCTGACAAGATGATAGGTTTTAAGTCAACCATATCAATGATTACATGAAATTAATAAAATATAAATGGTCTGAATGTAAACCCACAAATTGAAAGAAAGATTATAACATCGGTAAAAAAGCAAAACTCAGTTATATGTGTCTACAAGAAAGTCACTTTAAATATAAAGACATGGAAAGATTAAAATTAAAATAATAGGAAAAGATATACAATGCAAACACCAATCAAAAGAAAGCTGGAGTAATTATATTGAAATTAGATGAAGTAGACTTCAGAACCAGGAATATTTAACAGTGATAAGGACATTCTAAGGGTAAGGAGATCAATTCACCAATAAGACATAACATAAAGTTTGTGTATGTAGCTGAAAATAGAGCCTCTAAATATATGAGGCAAACACAGAAAACGGAAGGGAGAAATAGACAAATCCAGAAATAGAGTTGGATATTTCAACACTCTCCTCAGTAATCAATAGAACAAGTAGACCCAGAAAATTAGTAAGACCTTAACGTAGAAGACCTTCACAACATTGTTAAACAACTTGGCCCTATTAACATTTATGAATACTCCATCCCAAAACAGCTTCTGATATTCTTTTCAAATACACATGGAATGTTTACCAGGATACACCATTCTATCAAGAAATTAACAATTTTCTTAAAAGTTGAAATCATACAAAGAATGTTTTCTGGATTAATGGAATTAAATTAGAAATCAGTAACAAAAAATATCTGGAAAATTCCCAAATATTTAGAAGTGAAACACTATACTTTTAAATAGTTCATGGATCAAAGAGGAAGTCACAAAGAAAATTAGAAAACATTTTAAATTGAATAAAAATTTTAAAAAAATATACAGGTTTCAGCTAAAGCAGGAATTAGAAATCTCTAACATTAAATGCTTATAGAAGAGAAAAAATCAGGAGTTACAGAAAAATCTATAGCACTAAATGCTTACAGTAGAAAAGGCAAGGATTCAAGAGAAATCCCTAGTATTAAATGCTTATAGTAGAAAAGAAAAGAGGCTTCAAGTCAGTGATCTAACATTTTACCTTAAGATAGTAAAAGAAGAGCAAATTAAACCCAAATCAAACAGAAAGAAGAAATAAAGATAAAAGCAGAAATCAATGAAATTCATTATTGTACTAAAGATCCTGGCAGTAAGGCAAGAAGAAGAAAAAAAGGGCATATGGGTTAGAAAGGAAGAAATGAAACTGTATTCATAGCATGATTTAAAAAAATTTTTAAAAAAATTTTATTATGTTAGTCACCATACATTACATCATTATTTTTTGATGTAGTGTTCCATGATTCATTGTTTGCGTATAACACTCCATAGCATGACTTTTTATATAGAAAATTGTTTATTTAAAAATGGGGGATGGAGACTGTATTTGAAATGTGAATGTCATAAAAGACAAGGAAAGACTGATGGAAATATTCCAGGTTAAAGGATACTAAAAAGACATGGCAAGTAAATTCATTGTACCTGTTCCTAGATTAGGTCACGAGGGAAAATGCTCTAAAAGAAATGAATAGATCAACTAACAAATTAAAATATGGACACACTAGACAAGATATTATAGCAATGTAAAATTATGAAGGTGATAACTACACTGCTGTTATGTAAGAGAATTCTTTTATAGAAATACTGAAGTATTAGGGGTAAAGGACCATGATATATGTAACTTACCCTAAACCCCCAAATGGTTCAGGAAAAAAATTACATAGAGAGTGTAAATGCGGAGGACAAAACAAATTGGGGGTAGGATGTGGGCAAAGATTTCAGTGTTTCCTGTGCTATTTTTGTTTTTGTAACTTTATAAGCTTGAGTTTTTTTGTTTTTTGTTTTTAAGTTCTTAAAAGGTTTTTCAAAAATGCCAAAAGAAGAGGGCCATTACACTTGAAGGGAAACTGCTTTTCTCCCAGTAAGCAACTGTGAGGGATTAGGTAAGGTCTGCTTATAGGAAGAGTATGTTTGCTTGCTTCTTGTTACAAAACACGTTTCCCCAAACTCAGTGTTCCTCTCCTGGAATGCAGCTCACCTCCTGTGCAGCCATCCATCTAGGCCTTCTGTGTCGTCCTCCTGTGAGTGCAATGCAAACCTATAGATAATCATGCTCCTGGCTGTGCTAGAAGTCAAGCCCTTTTTCTCTGACCCAGGAGTCTCAAGTCTTCTTCCAGCATCCCTGGAAAAGTAACAGGCCAGCTCTTTTGATTGAAAGGGTGAAATCAAATCCCAGACCTCATGGTCTGGTTCTGTGAACATGTCTTCCTTGTCCCTATTTTCTGTTCTTTTTCTCACACTGAATTCTTTGCCAGGAATCCCTTTCCAATTTCACCTCCCCAAACCTTACACATTCTACTTCTAGCTTAGTAATCTCTCCCTCCCAGGTGCTTAGAAGATTGTTGTTTTGTTCCACTGATCGTTAGTCGTCTCTCCTTTCCTATCTTTACTCCATTTCTTTTACCTCTTTATCTATTTTTCTTCTTTTCCCCATTCCCTCCTTCCCTTTCTTTCTCCTATTTTAATGTAATCAGACTGAATATGACAAACTTCTGATTAGACCATGTCTGTGAGAGCAGACCGTTTATTCCTGTATAGAGCCAAGAGGATTTATTTATGTAGTTCTGATTGACTGGTTCTTATTAAGAGCCACTAAAGTGTTCACAGACATGTTTTTTAAACCCTCACCACAGTGATAGCTGTATTTTAGGTTAGTGTACTGTTTCCATAGATTGAAAGTACTAAGTAGGATCACAGAATTTTCAGGGTTGAAAGAGTCCCAGAAATCATTCAGGGAAAAACCCTTCATTTTCCTAAAGAGAATAGGTCATGGTTAGTGATCGCTATCGCTTCCCAAGGACTCATAACACTATTCTTATTGCTGCTTCTCACTATGGTTATAAACACTTATAATTTTTTCTTACTGCCTTAAATTTTTATTTCATGTACTGGTAATATTTTTTGGAGGTAGCAATCATAAAATTATCATTTGGATTACCATTAGTAAGTTACTTATCGTAAGCATGTGCATTTTGTGGAAAACTGTTGGGCCATATCCAACCTTTGTGGTGTAATTATGTTTGAAAGCATGATTCTCAAAATATCTAATTTTAAGAGGATTGTACCTCTCATTAGAATCTGGTCTATTAAATTAGTTATAAAATCTTTCTCTTGGAAAATTAGGCTATATACATCAGGGTGATTCTACACAATGGATTCTAGAACCAGATTTCCTGTATCTGAATCCCATCCCTGCCACTTGCTAGTACAATGGCCTGGGTTATATTAATTAACCTCTATGTGTTCTGATTCCTCATTTGTAAAATGGAAATATGGTACCTATCTCATGGGTTACTGGGAGTTAATTAAATGAATTGATAATGTAAAGTGCTTAAAAGAGTGCCCAGGACAAAATAAATGGTACGTATTTTAACAAACACTATTGATTAGTAAAAGATGGCTGATAGGCTATGATAATTTCCATTTAACTTGTCAGCCTATGTAAGAGGATACTTTATGCAGGTCATCAGCTTTGGAGGAGTTTGCTTTACTCCTCTTTATATTTTAAAGGTCCCCCCCCCCTTAGAGCTTATTCTCACTAAAGAATTCTTTTCACAGTGCCTATCATCATCTTATTTTCTTCTCCACATTATTCTTTGTGTTTTATATGTGTTACATGTTGTGTGTTCTGTGTGTGTGTGTGTTCCTGTTTGTTAAATGATTTGATGTGATAATTCCATTTTAGTGGCTTTTAAATAATTCCATGAGTCTGTGCTACACAAATGAGAATAGGTAAATATTTTAGATGTGTACTTAGAGAAGCTATGGCATATAACCTTATACCTTAGTTATATATTTCCACTTCATCCAGTTTGAACCAACATTCACATATGATCCTTTTCTAGATTATGGTTGATTAAAAGTACTAGACCATATAAATACAAGTATGACCATACGTTGCTTTTAAGAATAAATGATCGCCCAGTAACGTGGTCTAAGTAAAATGTTCTCTTTTTTAATTATGTAGTCCTCCTCGTCATCCTCATCACAGCCTCATTCTAGCCACTGCAGAACGAAGCCCTCATCATTGTGTCACCATGCATCCCTGCCCTGGGTCAAACGTAACCATGTAGGCCCTGCAAAGGCTACCAGTCCATCTCTCCGTCTTCGTCGCTGGCGACCCTTCTTACGCCTACCATCTATGGGTCTCCATTCTGTTGTAAGTGTAGTCAATCTTCCATCTCTTCTTCCAGTGACAAGGATAGTCCAATTTTTCCCTTACACTTCTTCAGTCTTCAAAGTGCTTTTCTCTTGGTTTACTCAACCATTAGCTTTTTCTCCCCCAAGAAGATTGCAAGCATACCTTTATGCTTTGCAGTCTAGCTTGACTTTCACCAGTGCCTCAGTGAACATTCATCTTCCCACTCCATATCCCGCCAGCATAAGGATGCCTGCCTTTTGATGAGTACTGATTGGCAGTCATGATAATGTTTAAGTTCCTGTCTGTTGTTAAAGTAAATATGTATTCTCTTAACCTTCATCTCTCTGATTTCATTTAGTTGACCCAGGTCAACAAATGCTGTGTACCTTCTGAGTTCTTTGCCATCTCTTTATTTTTTTCATGTTTCTGAACATGACTGTAGTCTCTTGTCATGCTCCGGGGTCACTTTACTTACTCTTTCCTTAACCTAATCCTTCATGGTGTAGGGTGTTTCATCTAAGATATTTTATTCCCTGAGGTGTCTCAGGTACTTGGTTTAATCTTGATCCAATCTTCCCTGCCTATTCAGTTTCTAAAGATCTTTTTCCAAGTAGGAGGTGAAGATTTTCTCCTTGTGAATTGCTTCCCATAAATTTTATGATTTCTCCTTCTTAGGTTGATAATATTAACAAACTATTAAAAAGTACATTTGTTCTTATAATCTTGCTAATTATCTTAAATGTTGAGGTTGATGATGGAATTCTGATAATTCTCATGATTGAAATAAACTGTAGGGTTAGGCAACTCCAGCTCTTTTCTTTCTGATGTTTTAGACTGTTAATAGCAATGACTGTGGTTTGGCAGAGCCTACTTAGAAATGCTATATTTGAAAGATTTGGTGTATGCTATCCATTTATAAGAAACTTGATGCTTCTAGAAATCATCATAACTTTTGAAGCCAGAGGCAGTCTGATTCCTCATACATTTAATGATAAAATTAAAAGTTGGTGTCAAACATTCTTTCTTTTCCCTTATTTACTCTTCCAGAGCTAGACTCAAACTGTGAAGTAGAGTCTTGACATGTTTTCTTAAATATCGGTTTCCACCAAATGTCAGTATGGTCATCAAAATAGCCTTTCATTTATGCTGAATATCAATCAATAAACTGCTGTCTATTTCTTTTTCCCCATTGGATCACAACATGCACTTGCCATTTTTATTCATTTATTGATTTAATATTTGTTGCTTCCCTACTGTGCCATACACTGTTTGGCATAGTAGGAGACATAAGGTGAATTATATGATCAGAGTAAAACCCTAATTTTGTAAATTCTAACTTGGGCACAATTGATTCTAAATATGACTGATTCCTTTGTACTTTTAAAATATTCTAAATAAAAATGAACATACCATAAAATTGGTGTTTCCAGTTTTATATGATTTTACCTAATTTTGATCTTTGCTCTCCATATTAATTCTGTTGCTTTATAGCTTCATAAGTATTTTCATAGCATAGCATGGATTCTAAAACTACCCCACCTGAGTTTGAAACCAGATTCCATCACTTACTAACTGTTGAACAGTTTTCTTGAGAATAAATGAGTGTGTTACCTATCTCATAGAGTTTATGTGATGATTAATTGGTCAGTACATTTAAGGTACTTAAAACAGTGCTAGTGCCTGTTAGTGCCATATTAGTAGAAATTAAATTTAAACTCATTTTCAACAATTTGAAATTTGTATTTAGTATTTAATTAATTTCTCTCTAATTGATTTGTTACATTATTTTTAACTGTTTGAGATAGTAATAAGTGTTGTAAATTGGGGAACTTCATAAAAAATAATACATAAAAATAAATGTAGTCAACATGATCCAGTCTATAGCTTCTGGTTTCTGCCTTCTTGGTCATGTTTTGAAATTGAAGACTTTGCCTTTTATGTATTGGTCTTGTTTTTAGTGGAACAATTTTTAAGCAGTTAGATAATTGCAAATTTCACACTCTCTCAGACTAATAAAGTTGATCAAAGGGAAAGGCTCCCAATAGGTACCAAGGTTCTGTGGAAGGCTTAGAAGTTTTTAGCTTTACTTACCTTTTATAATAAAGTTTGAAGGCTTTTCATGCCCTCTTTAGAGTTTTATATTTTTAGTATGCACTTTTGGATAAAAAGTATAATGACTCACCATTATGAGTCACTAACATTACTGATTTCTTATATTTGTGATAATGTATTACTATTGCGATGTTACATAATGCTTTTATAGCACTTAACAATTTACAAAATACTTTCATGCATTTCATTTAAACTTTAAAACAGATAAGGAACCCAGTTTATACAGGGATCAGGTATATATTCGGGTCTCTGACCCTCACTTGTACTCCTTTCTCCTCTAGTATGGTTGTATTTACTGACAAAATATGAAAAATAGAAGCTATAAGATGTATTATTCTTAAGAAGAGAGGGTGTTAAAATCGTTTATAATTTTTTAAAATGCAGTAGCTCAAAAAAATTAAAATATTTGATATCCTGTTGGAGAATTGTCTTAAAATGAGTAAAACAAAACTCTTCTAGTTGGGTAAAAAATCATTTCTAGTATTTTTTTGTTATAAAACTGAATTTATAGTTTGTAGAATTGCCTGGGTTTAGCCTTGAAAAATTGGATTCTCTTCTGGTCATTAGTAAAACGAGGATATTGGATTTGAGTGATCACTAGTATTTTTTGATTCTCTGACCAGGAAAGTAGGGAATTCATTATCACTGTCTTTAAATATTTGAAGAAGTATCCTGTTCAAGAGGGATTTAGGCTTTTTCTAAGATAATGGAAAATACCGGGAGACATATATTAGTCTCGGTATGAAGGATAACTGCAGCAAAACTGTCCAAAGATAGGACGGACTGCCTCCGAACCTAGTGCCAGTCCCCTGTTCTCCTAGGGGCCACTGCAGATGGAGCTGCGCCGGGGAGAAGTCTACTACTGGAGCAGCAGAAGTAGATCATTTTGTTTCCTACCAACAGTGGAATTCTTTCATTCTAAATTGAAGTTAGGAAGAGCTAGTTTGTCACATTGTTATGTTGAGATTCTCCCATTCATAATTGGAGGGAAATAATCTCTGAAGAATAATGTGAGATTAGATGAGTCACTCTCTCTGTACATGTTTTAGAAATATTCAGTAAATCCAAAATAGTAATGTTTATTCTGTCGCTTTCAATTTTTTCCATCTGAAAACTTCTTAAAACTACTTTAAAAAAAACTACTTAAAATTATAAAATTATCTGAAGGTGAAAAAAGTATAAACTTTACATTTCAGACACTATTGTGTTATCGGATGTTAATATGAAATGTGATTTGACTTATGCCTCTTTAAAACGTTTGCCTCTAAAATTTGCACTTGCGTTTAATAGTGATTGTATTTTATTTCAGAAACCATTTAAGACTTGAGATACAGCTAATATACATCAGTGTTAACTGTGTAGCTTACTGTGTTTCATAGGCAGTGCCATTTAATCATGTATTGATTTGGGGTAACTTATTTACATTTCTAAGAAATGTAGCAGATATTGCTTAATGCAAATTGAATTTGGTAAACTAAAAAAAAAACCAACAAAAACTAGGTGTAATTTAATTTTAATTTCAAGTAGTTCACTAAGAAAGCAGGCAAAAAAATCATAGGTTACAGTTAATTGCACGTTAATTTGCTTTTATCTTCCCCCCCCCTTTACTCTTTTGGGCTGGTTTCCTGCATTTATTCATTTTTAAACTTTTTGAATCTATGATGAATAATGAGACTTATTTTATTCTAAGACATATTACATTGTTCAAAAAAGATTATCAAGTTCAAATCATTAAGGAAAGAATTCACTTTCTTGGTGTCTTAAAATTTAGCTTGAAAAGAGTTTCTTTAACTGTTTATGTTATAAATTTTTTTAACCTTTCTTATTTCAGATATCAAAAATTAGACAAATGAGTTCATGCATTCATTTCATTCAGCAAGTATGCATTATGCATCTACTAGGTACCAGGTGTTATGCTAGGCACCAGGGCTTCCAAGGTTCAACAATATTAAAGGTTTTTAGATCAGTTGAGATTAAGAAAGATAGGCTTTTAGCTGATGTTTTCCTGGTTAATGGGTGAGGACATTGTCATAAATGTGGTCATGTTCATTGTTTGCCTACCATATCAAAGGTTAATAAACCTTGAATTATATTAGATAAATGTTCTCTCATGTCATTTCATATTTGTATGTGTTTACATGTACTTGATTGATTTGACTACTAACATGCATAATATGTATTTTTCCCTCCTATTTCAGGCACCAAGTATAGATGAAAAAGTAGATCTTCATTTTATTGCATTAGTTCATGTAGATGGGCATCTCTATGAATTAGGTAAGAACTATTTAAATTTACTCTGGGGAGGGAAATGATAAGTGGGAAAGCCTCTATATTAGCAGGACTGTTGGCATTTATTGTGTTTAATATTAATTGCCTTTTAACATTGAGTGGGCATAATGAAAAGTTTTCCATTTAAGATTTTTTACTAGAAAAAATATTTTTTTTCATTGTTTAAGCACGTTATAATTCAAAGAAGTGTGCATACCACCTTTGTATTTCAAGCAAAGCAGATAAGTAAAAATCATAGGAAACTCCTCTAAATCACTTCAGCGTTCTTTTTTTTCTTTTAAGATTTTATTTATTTGACAGAGAGAGACACAGTGAGAGAGGGAACACAAGCAGGGGAGTGGGAGAGGGAGAAGCAGGCTTCTCGCCGAGCAGGGAGCCCGATGCGGGGCTCGGTCCCAGGATTCTGGGATCATGACCCGAGCCAAAGGCAGACGCCTAATGACTGAGCCACCCAAGCGCCCCTGATTCCTAATAAATTCTAAAGGAATATTGAGCAAGAAAACTATTGAGTTAGTGAATAGAAAACAGTGATTATATATAATGTATGGTGATTAACATAACATAATAAAAAATATTTGTGATAGAAAATGCTAGCAGTTATTAAAACACACGCACAATACTTGCTAATACAGAGAACATATATTATGTACATTTATTTGTGATTTGGCAATATAGAATTACCTATGTAATGAAATAATAATCTTCAGGGGCCTGATCATATATTTCTCTTGTCCTGCAGTGTTCCCAGATTCTTGAAACATGCTCTCTACCCATCTGAGAGCTTTGGCCTTTAAAGTACATTCACCTCTGTCCATTGCCTCTAAACCCAGTCATGATGAGAGGCAAAATAAATTTTGAAGGAACACACACACACACACACACACAAAGAAAACAGTGATTAAGAGAACAGCATAGGTTTTTTAAGAAAAGAAAATCATTTCAAAGTGACCTTATTTGTTTAAAAATAAGGCTGTATGATTGTAGACATGTGCAAGTTAATTACTACAGGACAATCATTCCACAAGAATAGTGGTTATCTTTAATATATTTATTCCATACTAAATTGTAAGGTTAACGGATAAAAGGAACTGAGTTACTCATCTTTTGGTTGTCACCTCTTCCTTTTCCTTAGGGCTTCATGTCATTAATGGCATATGTAGGAGGGGAGAAGTACATATTTTTAAATAGATAAAATTACCCTTTATGGATAAATTAGAACAATGGGTTTGAAAGTGAATTCAGAACTGATTGAATCATCAGATTAGAAAACTGATAACTAACGATTTATTGTCTACCTGGAGTAACAGGAATACTCTGAAACATTAAGAAACTTTTATTTTGAAATAATTTAAAATTTTTATAAAAATTATAGAAATTGTATACAGAGTTCCCATAAACCCTTTACTCAGATTCCCCAGATTCAGTTAATATGTTTGAACCATTTGAAAATAAGTTGCAGACACAATGCCCCATTATTCTTTAATATTTCTGTATGTATTTCTTCAAAACAGGTGGATACTGTCTTACATAACTGTAGTATGACTGTCAAAATCAGGGAATTAACATCGATCCATATTACGATTGAATTCACAGACCCTATTCAAATTATTCTGATTTTTACAATGTCCTCTATAGGTTCAGAATCCAATCCAGGGTTGTGTGTTATATTTAGTTGTCACGTTTGTCTCCTTTAATCTGTAATGGTTCCTCAATCTTTTCTTTTCTCTTGTGTCTTTGACATTTATTTTTAAGCATACAGGGCAGTTACTTTGAGATTATTTTTCAATTTGAGTTGCCTGATATTTCCTCATGATTTATCCATTTTTGGCACATACACCACAGAAGTGGTGCTATGTTCTCAGCACATCATTTCAGGAGGCTCGTGATGTTGATTTGTCCCATCACTGGTGATGATGATCTTTATCATTTGGTCTAGGTGGTATCTGCATTTCTCCATTATAAAGTTAACAAGTTTGTTAAACTTGTTAATATGTTAATATGTTAGTTATTAATTAGTAAGTAATTAATAAATATCTTATCAGGAGATACTTTGAGCTTATGTAAATGTAGTTTCTCATTAAGCCTTTATCAGATTTAGCATCCATTAATGATTTTTAATTGATTATCACTATGATGGTTGCCAAATGGTACTTTAAAAAAAAAATTCCTCCACCATTAGAAGCTTTCCTTTTTCCCTTATTCATTCATTAATGTCAGAATGGACTCATGGATTAATATTTCACTCAAAAGGTTACATACAGTTCATTATCATAATTTGTTTTGATGCTTAAATTTTCCCCAGATTGGCCTTGAAGGGAACCCCCTCAAGCTGGCCCTTTTGTCCTTTTGATATGTTTCTGTCATTCTTCAAGTACTTTCTGTCAGGTGGAATAAGACTAGACTCATCTTTGATTTTCTGTGCCCTGGCCCTGTTATTCAGTTGCTTCTCCATAGAGCCCTGGTTCCTTTTAGTGGAAAATGATAATTTAGAACCAATATCTGGGTGGTAGGTATGTTCATTGCTACTAAGATATCATTGCTTCTAGGCCCTCTCAGAGGACAAAGGTAGGAAATGTTTGTATGTATTAGAAAAATAGACTCACATACATATATGTGAATATGAGTAGAGACGTACCCACAATTATATCTTTATATATTAAAAAGCATTCTAGAGGGGAGGGGGGTAGGGGGATGGGTTAGCCTGGTGATGGGTATTGAGGAGGGCACGTTCTGCATGGAGCACTGGGTGTTACACACAAACAATGAATCATGGAACACTACATCAAAAACTAATGATGTAATGTATGGTGATTAACATAACAATAAAAATTTTTTAAAAAGCATTTCCATTAACACTTCTAAATCTAATAATATATAGTTTATTCTAGTGTTCTCCATTACCCTTCGTATATTTCTTGACTTACCCATTCTTCTTGTATATAAACAAGCTCTTAGCCATCCCAGCCTAAACTCAGACCCAGACACAATTCTCCTTGAACCTCCCCCCGCACTTGCTCCCAACTGATCCTGGCCTGGCCAGGCCCATACAGAGCAACAGTTCTGCAAAGTGGGGACCCACCTTCTTTCTGATATTGTGCAAATTCCTGAACCACGCTCTCTTTCTCCTCAGTCTCTTCATTAAGACTGTTGTGCTCTGCGTGGGTTTCCAATTCATGAACTGGCAGAAAGCTATTACTGTTGAGCTCACATAAAAGCTACCTATTTCCTGTCTAAGAACAACTGTTTCAACCATTTCCTCCAACTTTTTCATTGTTTCCAGTGGAAGGCGTCATCCGGTACCAGTTATTCCAACTTGGCTGGAGGTGGAAGTAGCCTCAGTATTATTTCTTCACTTCCCACAAGGAAGATCAGAATTTAGCTTTCCTGTGTCACTCTTGTTCCTCACCCACCCTCCCAATCATGAAATAGATTATTTCCTCTCTCCTATTCTCCCAGTTCTGTTGTAGTTATATTATTATGACCACAGAAACATTTAGTCTCAGCTGAGCCATAATTAATGTACTTTTTAAAAAACTTGGGGTTCCTGGGTGGCTCAGTTGGTTGAACGTCTGGTTCAGGTCATGATCTCAGGGCCCTGGGATCGAGCCCCGCATCGGGCTCCCTGCTCAGCAGCGAGTCTGCTTCTCCCTCTTCCTTTCCCTCTGTGATCTCTCTCGCTCTCTCAGTCTCTCAAATAAATAAATTTTTATTTCTCTGGCTTTAATAATTGTCTCATTTTGCCTTTTGGTTTGTTTGGTTAATCTTCCCTCATACTTTTCTTTCACAGTGGTATCTATCAGTCCAGCTCTATCACTGTGTATGTATATGGATTCAGACGTTTTTATTACATTTGGAAGCCATGAAATTATAGAAGGGATTGTGTTTTATGGATTGAACTTGAAGTGCCACATTTTTTTAAAAAAGAATTTATTAGAGAGAGAGCAAGAGAGAGAACACGAGCAGGTTGGGAAGAGGGAGAAGCAGACTCTGATCAGGGACCCCAGTGCAGGGCTTGCTCCCAAGACCTGGGATCAGGACCTGAGCCAAAGGCAGACGCTTAACCGACTGAGCCACCCAGGCACCCCATGAAGTGCCACTTAAAAGACATAGAGATTTAGATTTGGATATAGAGTATCAGTTAACTTGAGTTAGGATGAGTTTATATAATACTGGACTTTTTCCTTTTTTCATAGCATTCATAAAGTATTAGTTTATTCAAGATGTTTATAATTGTGTTTAATTAACATTGGTGGTCAGTGAAATAACCCTAGGTTATTTAGATTGTTGGTCTATACTACTTACTGCCTTGGTGCTACATAATTAGTAGAAGTAATATATAAATCTTGTGGTGGCTCCCTTTCATTGGTATAAGCATGTCAGTCTTAGGAACCTTCTGATTTGAAATAAATGTTTCATATTCCTGAGGGTAGAAACTAGGGTTGTAGCTTTTTAAAAACTGACTTAGGAATTTTTCATTTTTTAAGGAAATTAAAGCCAATGTTTATTTCTTATAAATTCTGTTTATGAAGATAATTTAGGCTTTCAAACATGGAAGCAAGGTTCTAATAACATTTAATATAAAAAATACTGATAGGTAGCACATTTAAAATATGTGTTTTAGGATATATTATTTTCAGTATCTTTTAACTTTCGCCTCACTATGGAAAGAGGAAAATGGAAGTTGGAAGTACATTATCCTGTATAAGCAGCTAAATGTTACAGCTCTTTGTTCATTTTCCACAGATGGACGGAAACCGTTTCCAATTAACCATGGGGAAACTAGTGATGAAACTTTATTAGAGGTAACAACAAAACTTGTTGGCTACTTTAAGTGTTATTAATGTTCTTGTTATCTTTAAAATATCTCTAAAGATCTCTTGAATAACATTTTCTCTGAATCTGGATCCTTATACTCTTGAGAAAATTCAAAAAGAAAATTCTGAGTTAGTGTTAAAAATCTATAGCAAATGAAGAGATTTTCAGAGCTCTTTGTGTGAACAAGTATCAAATTTGAAAAAGATAAGAATAGTATTGAAAGAGTTGCACATCATATTCCATATTTCACTGAATCCAAGATACCATCGTTTGTATCTTGATCCTGATCTTAGAGATTTTTAGATTTGTGAACAAATTTTGTGGCTAAGAAATAGTAATTTTCAAGTGAAAATTTTCTTTAAAGTACTTTAAGAAAGAACACTTACTATATCTTACAGTTTTGTACTAAGCAAATTAGGCTACCAACCATTCGCTTTTCTTGTGTGTGCTTTAAATTCTTTTGCATTTGGAAAAAGAAGTCTGATGTAAGATTAGTATGAATTAGGAAAATACGAAACACTTATCATTTGAAAGGAAAACACATGTTTATAAAGTGAAAAATTACACATTTTTCCCCCATAGGATGCCATAGAAGTTTGCAAGAAGTTTATGGAACGTGACCCTGATGAATTGAGATTCAATGCCATTGCTCTATCTGCAGCATAGCTTGTCAGTGATGGAAACACCAAATACTGTATTATTTGCCACAAAAATTAAATTTCTGCTGCCATACACTAACTCAAAAATTTTGATATTTTCATTAACTTGACTGATTAAACTTTATGTGAATTAAACTTTGACTTAATCTGAGTTTTATTTCTGCTGCACATTAAAGCTGTCATTCTTTTCTCCCCTTTCTTTCTTGTGAACGACTTACCTTGTCTGAGGACTAGCGATAACTTTCTTTCTTTTAAATTTCATGGAAGATTTTGTCTTGGGCACAGGTACAGTTTCCATCTGCATAGTATAAATATATGACATATCATATTTTGACCTATTTCCTTAACAAGCAGTTGTGGAGCATCGACTTGTCATGAGCTGGACGCGGATCTAGGGGCAGGAGTTACAGCAGTGAACACGGTCCACAGGTTCCACAGTCGTGGAGCCTGTGTTTTTGTGGGAAGATAGGAAGAACGCATCAGTAAGATACACACCAATGCTAGATGCTAGGCAAAGTCCGATTTGGGTGAGAGAGTGACTGAGTGGATACTTTAGATTCTGTAGTCAGGGAAGGCTCCTATGAGGAAGTAGCTGTGAAGTTGAGATCTGAATAGCAAAAAAAAACAGCCAGTGAGAGAAAGGTGGTAGAGAAGAGTAAAGGGAATAATGAATGCAGAGTCCCTCAAGTAGGAAAATCTCACTGGGCTATTGGGCCAGAAGAAGGCTTCTAGGACCAGAGCATAGAAAGTGAAGGGGAAGGTGTCAAGAGATGAGGTCAGAGGAGGAGGGGCTGAGTGACACAGAATAGAAAAAGGCATTTGGATTTATTGCAAGTGTGATGGTAAGCCATGGAAGGTTTTAAGCAGGAGAATGACCTGATTTGATTTACAATCTTAGAAGATCATCTTGACTCCTCTGTGGATAATATACTGGGGAGCGGGTAAGAAGGGAGGCAGAGAAATTTGTGAGGAGGTCAATGAGAGACGGTGATGGCCCATTCTTAAAAGAAGCGGTAATTTAGACAGAGCTGTGTGTGTGAATTTGATGTGTGTTTTGAAGAAGGGAGGGCTTCAGCTGTGTCTTAAAGGATAGGTGGAAGGCAGAGGAAAGGTGGAAGAGTATAGAGCTGGGTCAAAACACAGGGTTAGTGTGATGGCGATGCCCTGTATTTTGGGGGGGAGAGTATGGGTTACACAGGTGTATGCAACTATCAAAACTCATTGACTTGTTCATTGAATTTTGCACTTCACTGTATATATATTTTACCTCAAAAAAAGAAAAAATACAGAGTTGGGTTGGAATGAGTATAGCAGTGAGGAGAAAGACCAAATTGGAATGCAGTTCTGGAACAGTCATTAAGTGTAAATGTGTATACCTGATTCACTGAGGTAACCTAGATTCCTGAGGCAGTGACCTGAGATAAGTGGTATTTTAGGAAGAGTAATGGGGCAGTGACTTACAGAATGGATTAGATCTATGTTACTCAAAATGTTACATCAGCATTACCTAAGAACTTGGTAAAAAATAATTATTTCAGACCCCACCCTAGACCTACGAAATCAGAACTTGGGTTTTCGACAAGATCCCTGGGTAATGAATATGCATATTAAGTTTGGGAAGCACTGGATTAGAGAAAAATAGACTATAATGAGGAGGATCACTTTCGAAGACCTTTAAACTCCCTATGGTGAGGAGTGCCTGAATGAAATGATGGCAATAGGGATGAAGAAATCATCTGAAACAACCGATAGTATATGAGGATGGTGCTTCTGTCCTGCCAGTAACAACCAAGTGTTCTACTCTTTTGTTCCATCATTTATTTGCATTTTGTACTCCCGTCTATTTTGTATATTATCTTAAAATTTTAAGTGTTCCTAAACAGGTCTCTGCCTATTGCCTGGCTGAATTTCTCCTAGCATTTATTACCAAAAATTTACATTATTTCTCTTATGTCTAGGATTTTAGTCCTACTACTCTATTAACTATAATACTTTGTTTAGTCACTTTCTTAAAATTTAGCACTTGTAGAAGAAATTGATGGTTAATTTTGTATGGAAACTTGAAGAGAGACACTAAGGGTGGTCAAGTCATGGGTAATTTCTGGAACTTGTTAATGACTAATATATTTGGGGGAATAGAACTAAATAGAACTGAAACTTTAAATGTTTTTACTTGTACTTTTGGAAATTGACTAAACATCACCTTTCAGTGGGTGTAATGGCTTGTTTTGAAGTATTGAAATAGAGTTTATGATATCCATATTTAATCTCTAATATTTTCCATGTTCATTTTTTTAAAGATTTTATTTATTTATTTGAGATAGAGAGCACATAAGAGGGGGGGAGGGGCAGTGGGCGAAGCAGACTCCCCGCTGAGCAGGGAGCCCAATGAGGTACTCAATCCTGGGACTCCAGGATCATGGCCTGAGCTGAAGGCAGTCGCCTAACCAACTGAGCCACCCAGATGCCCTTCCATGTTCATTTGTGACTAAAACAGAAGTTGTCTGTATTCTGGGGTGAATCAAATTTTAATATGTCTTAAATGAAAACCATCTTTAATACTGTATAAAAATTACTTAAACCTGATTTAAATTTAGTTTCATTCCATCTTAGATTGGTGTACAGTGCTTATTAGGTAAGCTTTGTAATTGGGTTGTGTATAACACATAACCTGCTTATTTCATTTTAAAATAATATAGTTTAAGAGAGATTTTCAGCTATTATCTGTCTACCATAGTATCTTTCAAAGTAGCACCTATAGGCTTATGATTCTTATATTGGTGCTTGTGAGAAAATTACAAAAAGTAACATTTTCATCACTTTTAAAACATTTTTCTGTCTGTAGAAATTTCCTTTAGAGAAAGCTTACATATATGTATATATGTGTATATATGCACATATATATTTGTACGTATGTATATATTTTTGTGTATATATCATTATCGGGGAACTAACATATAGATATGTATATGCACGTATATATATGTGCACACACATGTTCACACATTTGTACCTTGAATAGGCAAATAACTTTGGTCTAAATCCTCTGGATTATTTAAATCCTTTACTTTAATATGAAATTAAAGTAAAACCACTTTGAAAAGTATGTAATCATTGCAGAAGGTCTTTAGCTAATTTAGAAGGATTTGTACACACATGTATAAAGTTTAATAATGTCTTTATTAAGATTCTCTGGTAAGATCTTAAAATGAGGTTCCTTGTACTTTCAAGAAAATTACTACGAAAAACCAATACTGAGTTTTCAGATAACCGAAAGTAAGTTTTGTCACTTCTTTTGCTTCTTTTGATTTCCGAGTATGACCTGCATAATCTGTTGTGATGTGGATGATTCAGTGTAATGAAGAACATTGATTGTCTTGGTGCCAATGGTGTCAGTTGATCAGACCAATCCCCATGCCTTAGTTTCCTGCATATTTTTACTTGTTTTGCCTTTGAATAAAAGTTATTCTAACTCTTTCTCTGGACTTCTTTAAGATAGTGGTTCTGAACCTGTCTGTTGCTTCCACCTACATTATAGGTGAGAGTCCCCAGTATGACATTATGCGTGGTCCACACCTAGATAATACATGGGAAGTTATGTAGACAATAAAGGCTATATTTTATGAGCATTACCTTATTGTCTAATTGTTGGGCTGGTTGGGAATCCTTGGTTTAGAGGCATTAAATATACATAACCTATACTAAAAGCTGTTTTGCAAAATCAATTATTTAAAAGGCTTAGGGGGCCTGGGTGGCTCAGTGGGTTAAGTGTCCAACTCTTGATTTCAGCTCAGGTCATGATCTCAGGGTCGTGTGATCGAGCTCCGCGTTGGACTCGACACTCAGCAGTCTGCTCCAGGTTCTCTCTCTCCCTTTCCCTCTGCCCCTCCCCCTGCTCTCTCTATCTCTAAAATCAATAAAATCTTTAAAAGGCTTAGAAATATATAATAAAGACTTTCTAATCTATAAGACAGCTATGAGTATAAATTGAATTATTTAGAATAAAAATCCATGTGGTCAAGAATAAATCCCAAATAATGTGAATGACACATTTTAGTTGATGCAAAATGTGCCCTTTAACAACATGTAAACATAGTTGGTATTTAAATAACAGTTATGTTCAGTACTGTATTCTTCTAGAGCTGAAGGATAAAGTCTCTGTCCTGCACATGTTCTGTAAGAACAAGATGAAAAATTGCTTGAGGCTTTATTTGTATCCAAACATGAGAGACTTGCAACACATGCAAAGGTTGTAAATTAGACCATTTAAAAATGTCCTAAAACCTGTTTGCTGAAAAGTCGTGCTGCATACTGAGAGTTTACCTGTAGTAGAAGATGGCAACAGGTTACATTTGCATTTTATTTTAGGGCTAAGCAGTAAAAAGTTATTTTTCTTTATTCCGCCTCCAATGTGAAGTATTTGGAACCAGAAGTTCCTCCTGTCCTTCATCACTACTAAAGAACTACACACATTTGATAATAGTGTACACAGTTAATGGGAATGTTACATTGTTCATATTTTTATGGTGGAGACCAAAGCATATTTCATGGTTTGGGTATAATTTAAAAGATGCATTCTTCTGAGAAATTGATTTCTTTTATAAACAAAATGCAAATGCCTTAAATATTTCTTCATTTTAATGTGATAAATAGAATTGCTTTTAAAGCCATAGTCTGGTATGGCTTGATAATCAGGTACACATGAAGTATTCAAGATAAGAGCATAATGGTATTGATTTTCAGAACTTTAGAAAATATTGCTTGTGGGCAAAAGAAAGAAGGAATGTTTAAAGCCAACTGTTCACTTTACTGTTTTAATTTTTACCTTGTTTTCCGTTTTCAGGAGACAAGAGTGTATATCATCTCAGATACTAAAAATATTCCTGTGAAAGCTTTTAGTTTTTCAGGGATAGTAGTCAACTATTGTTTTCTTACTGTACATGAAATGCCTAGAGAAAGTGACGTCTTTAGCCAAATTAATAAAACATAGGATAGAAAATGCTTAGGCCAATTTATTCTTGTCCCTCTGATATTAATTGTATAGTTGACAGCTATGTAGATTTTAGCAATTTGTTGAGCAACTAACCTGGTTTCAAAATGGGATCTATTTGCTCTCAAACTTTTCAGTCTCAGAAGCCCCT